GGCACATGCATTGAAGGTGATTATCTGAAAGTGCAGTTATATATTCTTTATAAGTGCTAAACTTTGCCATCTTGTTTAAAAAGTGTTTATCCATTTCTCCTATGCTCAGAGCTGTTTCTGAACAGTTGGCTCAAGGTGTTAGAATCTTTTTAATTGATATTTTGTGAAAAAGTGGTAATCACTTTTTTTAATTATGCAAATGAGGATTTAGAAAACTGTTTGCATTTGTCCAAGTCTTTAAAACTGCTGAACTTGAGGGTGATTTTTGTTGCACTAGTACTGATCGCATCAAACCTGCACGCAAAGCTGCATCATTTTATTGGAGCACACATGCAAAAAAACATTTTGTTGCACTTGTGCATATGAGAGCCAAACTGAACTGTTTAACAAAGTCTGGTCAGAAATGTTGCAGCTGCAGGGCACTGCGGGGATTGTGGTAAATGTCACTGAGATGTCTTCAAGTTCCTGCCCTCTTGACAGCAGTTCTGATCTCAGCACAGAAGTTACTGATACACTTGCAGTGATTGGACATGATGGCCAAACCTGCTGTTAATTATCCAGCTGTAAAGGAACAACTAATAGGTTTATTCCATGCTGAAAAGAGGAAAGAAAACAAAACGTTTCGGCTGTGAAGCCTTCTTCGGGTGTGAAGAAGTTGTGTTTTCTCTCTTCTCTTTTTAGCATGGAATAAACCTATTAGTTGTTCCTTTGCAGACTATGCATGCTGACGCAGCTCCCCACCTGAACTACATCATACCCTTTTATTAACACAGATCTGTTAGGTGTGCATATGCACTAGATCCAGTATATAATATGAATGATGAAAAATGACTCGGGGGAAAAAAATGCATCTGCACAAGATAAATTGTTGCTATGTAACTGTTACCTTGTCTAAACTTAATGAGATGTGTTCATATATAATGTTTTAAATATATATATATATTAATGTAAAGCTTTCTATTTTGTGATTCTCTGTATTTGTAAAAAGAAAATATAATATGAAGCAGCTAGATGTGTGCAGGACTAGTTCTGGACAGTTATACGTTTACCAATCTGTTCTTGGGAGAGGAATAATGGAAAACAGGCACTAACGGATATTCTTGTTCTCTTGTAGCGCTTGTTCTGAGAAGACCAAGACAGAGACCTGAGCCTGCACGGGAGAAAACGCACGTTGTAAATCTAATAGTTTTCCTACTTATTTTTTTATATTTGGTTTTTGTACATATTCTGTATACATAAATATATTTTTTACCAGTTCGGGATCACGATTGTAGTTTATCATGTAAACCACTTTGTTCGCTTTCTTTTCTCCTGGCCCGAGCGTGTGAGAGTCCAGCCGGGCTGTACCGAGACGGATTCAATGCCTTACCCTTCCACACCGGCGAGAGCTCGTACCCGTGCCTGTCAGGATGCTGGTTCATCTTAGGCCTGGGTGCAGCCCTGATGCATGTGTCTCCAAGACACAGCAGAGTGCCGGCAGAGGGGGCTCGAGCCCACAGCCCCCTGTGGAAGAACACTTCCATTCCAGAACATCAAGAGGGCCCGCCGTGCGCGGTCCATACTGGTGGCACTGGATACAGCCCCCACCTCAGAAGGAAGACACTGGAGAGGGACAGATTAAAACTGGGAAGGTGGGAGGACACTGGACGGTCCATGGAGAACATGCAAACTCCACCCAGACCTGCACCACAAGATGGAGCTGAACCCTGGGTGCTGGCGCAGTAGTGCTGACTGCCAGGCTTCTGTGCTGTCAGGGGAACGGGGTGCTAGAGCACCTCAGGAGCACCCTGGGGCTCCACTGACCAACCCGGGACGGGAGAGCCCAGAGGGGATGTGAAATAAGACCTGTTCTGCTGGGATTATTGGTGATTTCGGAACTGGCCTTAAAAAATCAGAATCATACCGTGTCAACAATAATGAAATTAAGTCATTAGTGACGGATCAAAATCTATAATTCAAGTGTTACGTCAGAAGTTTATTTTGTAATTACAAATTGTGATATTTAAGATTTCAAAATGCAAGTATGTTTTATAGAAAATGCACCATTGTTGTTTTTATCAACTAGTTTATTAATATTAAATTTATGAGTGCTAAAAATCATGGGTCATGAAATCCTAAATCGTACAGTGAGGTCCTTCACGTTTATCTTCTGTGCCGAGATGAGCAGAGCTGAGGCTGGTGTAGCGATCTGTGTCAGCCTCAGCCAACTGCAGCCCTGGCAGGAGGTGTGAGCAATCTAGTTCAGAGCTTTCCCCATTTCAGTTTTATGACTTTAGCTACTCAAGGCAGTTTCTGTCTTTTAATGATTAGTTTAGAAGGTTTCACGTGCAGGCAAGGCAATTTCTGGAGCTCATTGAAAGCATATCTAATGATAAATTTAATATAGTTCTCAGCGGATCACACAAGCTTATCAAAGGTCACAAGCAGAAAGGGTCAGGTGCTCTCTTCATGCCTGTGTTATTAATAGTAATTAATTGATCCCAGGATCTCATGCAGCTGTTTCCTGTGAGAAGCCAGGGCATCAGGTTCAACAACATGGACAGGCAGTTTGTTCCACACTCCTGCAACCCTTTGTGTAAAGACGGGCCTCCTGTTCTTGCGTTTTACATTCACTTGCCATTTAAACTGTTGAGCAGAAATCTGACTTCGTGGAGTATTTTGTGAGCGGCCCTGATGTAGGCAGTCCTGCGCTCCAGTGAACAACGGGTCGTTTTGTTGCCACAGCCTGATTTAGTTGGAAACAGTGTGATCTTTTGGGGACCAGGAGTGAATACTTCAGCATCTGAAATACTTTCTCTTGATTTCCAGAGTAAGAGACTCAATGTATAACAGGGGCAGGCTAGTGCACAACCTCTGTTAATTAATTTTGTGAGCTATGCACCAAGGGTTAGTAGTTTCTGAGATTCCTGGCACCTATGGACAAGCACGGATTGAATTGCATCGTCTGCCCATCTGCTGTTTACAAGAGACAGTGCTCAGTACCCAGTTTATGCCATTTTCTTTCCCTCTGGGAAACTACCAGTGAGGCTGTTTGTTTGTTGTGTGATGAGGGGTGGGTGGAGCTTGTTTGACTGTGGGGCAGCGGCTTGGAGACCCAGGTTTTACCTTCTGATGTTTGGCTCCTAGATCCTACTGAGGCTCACGGAAAGCAAACTGAGCCCTTGACCTACTGTTGGTGCAAATACCTCTATTCCCTGAGCAGCTCAGTTGCGCAGCCCTTGAAAACCTGAGCTGTGTAAGGAATGATCCTGCATTTGCAAGCAGATTTGTTTTAAAGATCAACTTGTACTGAGTAGAGTAATATTGCCATGTAGACTTCAGCCTCTGCTTTCTAGAGCACAGCAACACTCGGAGGGTCCTCAGCTTCAGACACTGGGCTGCTGCTGTTTCCAGCAGGGAGAGACCATGGAAGAATGAAAGAGTCATTTCCTTGCGGTCTGGCTGACCCGCCGGCAGTGCTCCTGGTCAGATGACCGTGTGGTCAGGCTGACCGGCCGGCGGCGCTCCTGGTCGTGCGGGCGATGACCGTGTGGTCAGGCTGACCGGCCGGCGGCGCTCCTGGTCGTGCGGGCGATGACACCAGGCTAGGGCTGTAGGGTCCTCTGCTCCTAATTCCAGCTTAACTGAATCAAGTGTGTGGAGTCCTCATATCATGCTTTTTGTTTTTATTGATAAATCCTTTCAAATTGTAGCTCCACAATTTGGTGGATATCTGTCCTGGAGCTTTACTGTGCTTATTAATACTGATATCTGTTAGTACAGTGGTTCTTGGTCCTTGACAAATGTGTTAATCGGCTTTTTAGCCACAGTTAGCAATAACATAGGACGTAGTCTAGCGATATTTTTTAGATGAAAGATGTTTTGACTATGTTGCACATGTGGGTCGAATGTCAAGCCTGAATCAAATATCACCCCAAAGTTTTTCAATTTCAACTGAAGTTCAAGTACAATACCATTGCTTAATACAGTACTGATTTACAGTGTCACCAGAAATCACAAGTAGTCTCTTCTGTTTCCCATTTTGTATTCACAGTTCGGTTTTATTACCTGCATGCAATACTCGGCACTAGGCTACATTAAATGTCACCTGCCTGTGTTTGCCCAGTCTTGAAAATTATCTAAACATTTTTTAATTTCATTGGCTTCTCACGGCTTCTGTGGTGTTTGCTAATTGAGCTAATATGGTATAATCTGCAAACGTGTTGAATCTAGATAATTGATCTAATTCAGGAAGAACAGCTGTCCTAGTACAGATATCTAATTAAGTCAATCTAATTTGAACATTTACTTCTCTATAGTTTTTCCTATTAACCAGTTCTGTCTAACTGCCCACATTTCTCCAAGAACCTTCCACCTGTAATTTAGGAATTAATCTTTTAGAAGGAAATGTATCAAAAGCCTTTGAAAATCTAAGTACACCATATCACCCAGTGCTCTGGGTGTCCATAAACATTGTTGCTTGTTCAGAGGACTCTTAACTTGGCAAGACCTACCTTTTCTAAATCCAGGGTATTTCCTACTATATTATTTCCATAAAGGTGAGCCTGTAGTCACCAATACTGTTAAAGAATCCCCTTCTGCTGTCTACATCTCCCCAGGTGAGCACCTGAGTGAGATACTCATTCACTAATTCCTTTTCCCTTTCATCCCCCAGAAATTTACCATCATCGCCTTGGGTCCCTTTTGCTGTTGTAGTAGTGAAATAACTTTTTTCCTCCCTCTTGGTTGGTTTGTTGAACAGTTTGAAATACTGTTTTCTACAGCTTTTGAATTTGCAAACTCTTGGGATGAACATGTTAGGTCTTTTAAGCAGAACATGTTGAGACGTGCCAGCCATTCTCCACTTGCCATGTGTCCTGTCCCATCCTACTGCTGTTAACCTGTGCTTTCCTGAAACTGTAGAATTGATCTGGACTCAATGAGCAGTTTCTCAATATACTACAGAGCACACCATACTACGGGTACAGTTACCTAATGGTTGTAACTTGTTTTCGTGATTTGAAAAGACGAGATCTGTGCTAGTGTTTCTTTGTGTAGGTGCTCCGAAAAACTGGGCAGGAAAGCAGCCGTCTACCCTCTCAGTTTCTCCTGGCATTCCTGTACAGTATATATATATATTCCCCATCTCTCTAGGGAAAGTCTTCCATAAAAACTTATTTCTATGTCAGCTGCAGAAGGCTGTGGTAAATGAGTAAATCAATCTGATTAGGGATCCAGTTTGGATCAATTGAGTCAATCCCCTCATGTGAAGAGCTGTTAAGGAGTGGGAGAGACCTGTTGTACAAAACCTGCTTTGTACTGGAGCCTCAGGACCAGAAAAGTCAAACTGTTTAAACACGTACTATATGACTCCAACCCAAATAGTAATTCTGAACTCTGCACTATTATTCCCCTCTATTGCTAAAACCAGCAGCAGGATGTGTGAAGAAAACTCTTTAGCGAACCTGAAATGAGCCAAATCATTCCTTCCTATTGTTCTTACTACTTCTACACTGCTGTGCAGTCACATTGTGGTAATGGGGTGAAGATGGAACTTTTAAGATGAATCTAGTGAAATATCACAGGTAAGACGCATGCAACTCCTCTCTAGACCGATGAAGCTCTGATGAAGTTTTCTACATTCTGGCAGTTTCCAGTGATTTTTATTGTGACAGAGTGCCGGTCTCTTCCAGTCCAGGATCATGGCACCAGAATCCAGACTGCAGCCAGCAAGAGCCCAGAGGCTGGACAGCGGGCTCTTCTGCCACAGGCAGCTTTAGCACTCCATAATTTCACCTTTCAGCATTAGAGGAAAGTAATGTCACATCCAGCTGATGCGAAGGAATTACACTGAAATGAAGCAAAGATCTATTACAAGGACTTTAAGACTCGGTTTTTATTAAAAGAATTAACATGAAATCACATAATAGTATTTTTTACTCAAATTATAAAAAGAGTAACACGATTCAATATGAAATTAAGAACCGATTCCCCTGCTGTTCAGGCAAGGATAAATCCTCATTTTTACACAAAAAATAAAGGAGTCAACAAAACTCCTCTGCACATGCTCTGTTTTTTTTATTTCTGCAGTGTTCCTGCTCTTAAGAGCTCATGTACAAAAAAAAACTTCACAATCTAATCTATCAGGGTTTTCTAAAAGCCTACGATCAGATTAACCCCAATTTTACATTTACACCTACTTTGTAATTTGTTTCTGTTTTAAATATATATTACAGAGCCCCACCACCTGCCCTTCCCTCAGTAACATCTTGTTTTAAAAAGCGACCCTCCCAAAATCAGCCAGCTGAAGCTTCATGGTCAAATCACAAAGTGTCAGATCATGAAAACTGGATCTGCTGCACTCCAGAAATCTGCAGGAGGAAAAGAAATTGCACCTTCAGATATCGTACCATTGCACCCACAAGTTTCATTGAGAAGTGTAACTGCAAACTACAAGGTTAGTTGAAAACAATTGGATTTCACTGCAATTGGTCTCCTTGCAGAACTGGCAAGTTAAAACAAACTCTCCACAAGTTGCCTTGTCCTTGTTAGCTGTGTTGCTCAAGGCAACCCTGGTCTGTCCAGTTAAGACACACAAAACGAATATACGAATTTATTGGGTAGAAGCAAGCTCCCGCCCATATACAAACACATCAAATCCCATAGTTTCAACCTGCAATTTTCCAAGAGGACTGGGGTCTGTATTCAGCCAAGCCACAGCATGCTAATGATAACTTTTTTTACACTGAGATGCTGTGTGTGTCTGCAGAGAGAAAGGCACGACCCTTACCTGCTGATATGAGGTGGTGTACACCATGACATTCTGCTGCTGGCCGTCTGCAGTGATCAGTCCTGCAGGTAACTGGTTTGCTGAAAAAGGGAAGTTTTACTGAATGTCAATTCAACTGACACACTGTGCAACTGTGCATTTTCATCTGCTGGTATTTGAACTTGCCATTTCTGATTATATTGCCGTATGGTTAGAGTTGAAAATTTCCTTAAATATGTCTAACAAGAAGTGCCTAGAAATATTTTGCCATTTCAAGTTAATATATACAGCTGTATTCTAATCTCACTCTGAGTAACAGTTTGGACAGTTCTACCCTGGAATAACACTTGGTTTGTCCTCTCAGTCTTTTCTTCAGTTTGCAGCACAGCTACATTAGGTTTCAGTCCACTTCAAATAATTTAAGCAGCACCAATCACTTCCTGGCTATTATCTGTATTAAATGCACATTTTGTGGATATATGTAAATAGTTTTCAATTAACCACAACTGGACTACACAGTGACATCATGCCCACTTTCTGAAGGTAAAGATTAGGTGTCAGGCTTCATTCTAGGTTGTTTCTTGAAGCTTGTGTAAAAGAAATCTGCAGTCCAAGACGTGATCACAGCAGAACTCTACCGGCTGGGGTTTCTGCAGAGCTGCTGCTGCTACAAAGGCTCCTGTATATATGCTCTGCATGGGCTTTGACAAGGTTTATTTCCAACCCTACCATCAATTACCAGTTGTTACCAAATTGGTTACAGCACCATACTGCCTGTCGCCTTTCTGAAAGGTGTCTAACAACACAAATAATAAATTGACTCCAAAGCACAGCAAAGGCTGGACAGACACTCACTGAAAGACTCTTCGCTGAGCTCGTCTCCCAGGCTGTCGTTCACAGACACAGTTGTTACCATCCCCTTCTCTCCCTTCATCGCCTGGAAAACATCGGTATCACAGAACATAACCCAACATGCGTCACAGTTCAGACACACGGTTACCAGCTCTTCAGAGACATACTGCAGAACCCTCTATACGTGCTGCCCAGCAATCCTGGGACTCGGCATGCTGACTCAAGGAGGGGTTGCTCAGATGAACTTGTACAAATCACTGTTAGAATTTAACAGGGGTACCTACTAGCTCCAGCCTGTATTAAAAATGCCATCTTAACTAGAAGCTACCCAGTACCTGCACAGGAATATTCCTGGGATTAGCTGGACAGTTAGAGCTGTGGAAACTGGAACACTAAGAGCCACACAAATCCTTCTGAAGACACCTGGTGTTCAGAAGGTCTGCTTCCAGAGAGCACCCCGATTGCAATAAGAACCGGTAATACAGAAATGTTACTCTTTTACACCAAGTCAAGATCTTGTACACAGAAGGCGAGACGACAGGATGTTAAAAATCTAGACACTTCAAAACTACTTTTCCCCCCACTTGAACTGACAATAGAACTTATCAAGCTGCCTTCATCTCACGAAGCCCTCCTATACTGGAGGGATTCAATGGGGCCTCAGGTGTGACCAGTCTGAACTCCTGCGTTCTGCTTTCCTGCTCAACCAGCACGGCTCTCAATATTCTACGTGCCTGACCTTCCAAAAAAGATCCCTCCTTCTCATTCTGTCTTCTCCCTGTCAAAACATCAATCATTTCACTGTCTGCACTCAGGTGGACGTAATGTACATTGTAATATTGTGTCCCCCCCCCGAAAGGTTAAATTTAAGAATCGCATACTAGTAATGCTGTTTTATTTACTTTCGACTCTTTAACTGGCTGTACAACAAGCAATTACATAACAAGCAAATTTCTCCCTTCTACTGAACATGGAGTAGGTTTTATTTCCACACTGCTGCTGCTGCTGCTTCTCTGCCTGCATGCTGCTTTCCTCAGCTCACTCCAGGAACCGAACCACATGTTCTGCGTACAGGACACCCCAACCCGACTGGCGACTCGCCCAGCCTCCTGACCTGCCTCCAGGCCAGGAAGCTGTACTGATCACAGCTGGAATGTATCACCTGTGAAGATGCAATAGATCGGTATCCACTAGGATGTTCAGGGTGTGCGACTCTATAGAAGAGGGGAGTGGAGATGGACTTCCCGTTTTGTCCTGCAAATAAAGGTATGTGCGTTCCCCCTCAAAAACACTCACCCCTTGCTGCCCTGCCCTGTCTCTTCTTCAGTTCAGCATTAATCTTGTCCCTCATCACCAGCAACATTCTGCCCTTTCATTCTCCTGTACCAAACCTGATTTCTCTCTGGGAAAGAAGGTCTTCTTCCACTTCTCAGTTACTGCAAACCTTAGCTTCTAGATCGGTGCATTGATATATATGCTGTTCTATGGAAATGCGCAGGAGAAGAAAGAACTGGAGCTATAAAAATATCCGACTGGGAAAGGAGAGTCTGATCAGACGGAAAATGTAAGAACAACCTCTGATGATAATGAGTGATGCAACATAAACCATCATCAGCTCTTGGCAAGAAGGGTGGAAAATTTAACTACCACTGGCAGATAACGAACTTAACCCCTCAGACAGTAAATCTGTTTGTCTTAATCACAGCTCAAGATCAACACAGCACCTCTCTGAATTTCTGCAGGTACAGCTTGAGCGGCTCCACGTAGTTGTCGAAGCCCAGGGTGGACATGGCAAACAGGATGTCCTCCCCGTTGATGGTCTTGCGCTTCTCCTGGTGGCACCGCTCGCTGGCCTCCGAGGTGATGAAGCTGATGAACTCGCTGACGCACTCCTGCACACACTCCTTGGCGTCCTTCGCAATCTGAGCCAAGAAAGACGTCGCAGAGCTCGGTGAGAAGCGCCGGGCAAGCTTCACACCACTATACCCTGACCCAGCGGGACAGCGGACCGACAGCCCTGCCTCAGCCCGAAAGGCACACGGCCCTCCTGTGCCCTCCAGGACGACAGACGCACTGGGGCAAATGAGCTCCCTTACTTCTGCACAAACCTGGAGTCAGGGAATGCTCTGAGTGAACACTGGTGGATATGCAAAGCTAACTAAAAACTGAACTTCTCAAAGCCTCGATTACTTCTAACGGCATTTCGAGAAGAAGGAAGGCTCGGGTTGACAGCCCAGAGCCAGGCTTTTCAAACTCTCACGGCACTCAAACGAGAGCAGCGGCACTGGGGAAGGCGGCGGGGTACCTTGCCGGTCTGCGGGATGGCGTTCTTCATGATCCGGGCGACGTTGGCAATCGGAAGGTAGATGTCCTGCTCTCTGAAGCCATCTTTGCTGCCATTGCCATCCTCGTGGTCGTTCATCCCCTCGTCTCCATCATCTTCCCCAGGAAAGCAAAAGGTTTTCCGTCACACTCACATGGTAAATCAAGCTGAAAACCATACACAGCACAACTAGCCTTTCTCCTCCAGCATCTTTCCCATAGATTAGAAAGCATGTCACTACTTAGTGTATCAGGAGCTTTCTTTTCCCTTTAAGGCTGAGCTTGTCTTCCCTGATGTGATTCTTCTTTAACCAGCAGAAGACAACCTGCAAGAATTCCCCGCTGCAAGTTGAGTACCCTGCAAAGAGCTCTCAGCAGATCCACCAGGAACCCAAGAAACAAATTTATGGACAGACTGTACAAAAGGAACGTGACTTGTTAAAAGGAGCCGAATGCATGATCAAATTCTGGCCAGTTTATTTCTGAGCTGAACCTGAAAATTTGTTGTGTGCACTGAAAAATCGGGAATTAAAACTTGAATTAAAAATTATGTACATTTTTCATCAGTAAGTTACTTAATCTGTTTCAGAAAGCTTTAGATGGGTTTTCATATTTTAATAAAATAAGTTTATGTGTCAAATACGCAGCCTACATACATAGCTACATTGATACAGCGCGCACTAATACTTGAGTGTTCATACTCCTCTCGAGCTTTCAGAGACACAGCTCAGCGCCACATTCGCCAACAGAACAAGTGATCGAAAATGAATACCTCGCAAAAACCAAGTCTTATGTCATGGCTGAAAGGAACAGACACCAAGAGTACTGACGCCGGCTCCAATAGATCACGCACACCTGTTTAAAAAGGGGAGGATTATACATTTGCCACCGACACCAGCTCTGCTGCTGAACCTGACACAGACAGCACTGCTAGTTTTAGCACGCATCGGAAAACGGCTACAAGGCGGTACGATCCAAATTAACTAAGTGCTCAGTGCTATTTTTATTAGACGTGTGTATGAGTGTGTGCGTGCACTGAGATTTTCTGCAGTTCCTACGAGAAGATGACTTGTAGGTGGTACTTGGTTGGATCACAGGTGTAACTTGCTCCAGGAAGTTTGAGAACCACCGTTGTGAAAAAATGTTAAAAGATCAAAGGCTCGTTGGAAGGGCAGGTGAGAAGTACTGACCTGTACCTCCTCAATCTCCCTGTGCACGTGCAGAGGTCAAACCCGTGAGCTGAGACACAAAGAGGGGACTGACTATCCTACAGGAGTAATGAATAATTAAGTACTTCCCAGCCCTGAAGCTCCAGACGCATAGGAGGGGACACCTGTATTCTCGTGAGGTGCAGAAGCCACATGGGTGACGCACTGCAGTCATCATTTACAAGCTTACAAGTTTACAGCTGATCAGGCGGTACGCCACACCTGAATTAACACACCACAGGTGGGCCAGACTGCACCAGAGAAACTTATCCAGAAACTCCTATAGCACAATGCCCCCAAGTCACAATACTATTGCTCACCACCTACTGGCTAACCAACCACTTAACCAGGTTACTGCCATTCCGTCACATTGAATTCAAGCCCACAACCAGACCTGTAGTGCATATACTTACTAAAATATTTAGGGGAACATCCTTCCAGGCCTCTGGGGGGCTGGAGGACTTTAGGTACTAAGCAGTTTCCCTGATAAACTGCAGGTTCCAAGTAAACAAGAAAAGGACACCTCTGCTTGATAGTAAATGTATTTTATTCTTATGTTATACCTTTGTTTACATTAAAATAGGTTATACACTTGAGATGGTCGTATAAAATAACTAGGCAGAATTAAAGAAATTGCTCCATACCGATCAACAGATTTAATGTTTTATTATCGCCCCCAGTGCAGGAGACAATAGAGCATTCAGACAGCTCTCTCCAACACGCTCACCCTGAAGTCTTGAAGCTTAGCGCCCCTGTGTTAGTACAAACTAGTCCACCTCTCACTGACAACACTCAGGGTCCTGGCAAGTCACAGGAGCCAAGACAGCCCTGAGCAAGCAACCCCACCCCTAGCCTGAAGGCACTCTGCCCTCTGTGCACAGCTGGTGACAGGATCCTGGCTCAAACCCACAATATCTAGACTGGGGCTTTTCGAACACCTTTTTTTTTTTTTTTACACCATACCTATTTACTTTTAAGGAACAAGTAATAGGTTAATTCCATGCTGAAAAAAGGAAAGAAAAAAGAGAACAACGTTTCGGCCGTGGAGCCTTCTTGCCGTGGAGAAAACGTTGTATTCTCTTTTTTTTCTTTTTTTCAGCATGGAATAAACCTATTACTTGTTCCTTCGCAGTCTACGCATGCTGACGCAGCTACCCACCTGAACTATTTACTTTTAGTTCAATAAGAAACATGAAAGGTCTGTGCCTTTGATTTTTCCTGTTATGAAATGTTTTAAGCATTTATTTGTACTTCACTTTATGTTGTGAAAAAGCACTAAAATTAAAATACTGTTTTGAAGCCATCCACTACAAAACTTTTCACACTGACATAAAGAATGTTCTTCTGGTTTAAGGAGTAAATGGCTGATGAGCTGGTAAACAAAGAGTTGAAACATTCAGGGCAGGTTTCTCACCCCCGATGAGCACTTATCTTGAATTACATCACCACTGAAGTAAAATGGTCTAGGACCAGCACTAATCAGGTGAAAGAAACCCATCTTTCAGCTATCACATGTAGATCTGCAACACTTATCTTAGACCAAACACTTGCTTGCACAGCAGACGATTTGTAAAACCACAGATTTTAAAACCACTGGAGATTCCTGTTCCCCTTCTTTTCCTGTTCCTATGCTAAGAATCAATACTACAGCAGAACTATTTCAGAGACAAGCTGAGGCATCAGCTGAGTTCTTACCCTCTTGAGACTGCAGCACGTAGTGACCTCCAGCCATGTACTCTCCAGTAATACCTAACTGGGAGGCATCAGTTGTCGAACTATCCCCATCCATCTAAAAAAAAACATTCAAAACCAATTAGAATCACGATTTTAAATCATTACAAAAACACACATAGGACTAGATAGACCCAATAAGTAAATGCTCACATCTTTGTTTTTTTGAAAAATGCAAAATCATTCTTATTAATGTTCTAACCATTTACATTCCTAGTGTTTTTTTGTTGTTTTTTTACTTGGAAGTCCTACAGCTCTAAAAGTTTCATGTTCTAACAGCCCTTTACACATGTGGCTATGATTAAGGTTTAACTTTTTTTTCTAGTACGACATCTGCCAGGTACACACCAATTTAGAAATTCTGAGAAAAAGGATAGTGCACGCTGTACAGGGCATGTCCCCCTGTGAT